TGACCTCTAAGATCATCGACCCCAACCATTAATCCAGCACCACTGTGTTCACTGCTAAACCACGCGCCCAAGTGCCACACCAACACACCTTGTGAATGCTTCCAGGGATGGTAATTTCACCATTTCCTTGGGCAGCCTATTCAAATGCCTGACCACCCTTTCAGCAAAGAAATTTTTCCTAATATCCAATCTAACTCCCCCACCGGTGCAACTTGAGGACATTTCCTCTTTCCTGTCACTTATTACTTGGGAGAAGAGAACAAACTCTACCTCACTACAATCTCCTCTCAGGAAGTTGTAGAGCAATAATGTCCTCTTGAGCCTCCTTTTCTCTGGACTAAACAACCCCAGCTCTCCCAGCTGCTCCTCATAAGACTTGTGCTCCAGACCCTTCACCAGCTCCATTGCCCTTCTCTGGACACGTTGCCCTTCTTTGGACAGCACTTGTCCTCAGTCTCTGAATAGCTGAAATGTGGGTCTGAAATGCTGCTGTGTGAATTGAGAGGTAACCTCCAGACTCTTCTAGTGCAAGAGGGAAGTTTTGGACAGGCATTTAAAGACTAAGAGCAAAGAAGAGGAGGCAGCTTGTACTTGTATCCTGTTAATAACTGAAGAGTTGTGTTAGCTGAAGCTTAGATTAACCTCTCTGGCAGATCAATATCTCAAGTTAAAAGCACCATCATGTATAATGTAGAGATATATAGATTTGGGTTTAAAGTTAACTCTAAAGGAATAACTGAAATCAGCTCTGTAATGAGGGCAAGCCACACCTCCAAAAAAGATATAACTGAAACTCAGGTTTCATTTTAAAATTTGGCATTTCTTAATACATTCTTAAGGCTTTTCTCAAGTTCTTGCCTTTAGATCTACTTTCATCTGCTTCCTTTGTAATCTTTGCACAAAACGAGCAACTAGATAGCTTTTCAGTAGTTGCCAAAGGACACTATAAAACCAGTTCAGATTAAGGTATTAAAAGGACACGTATAAGTACATATGTACATGCATAAGAAGGCTGTTAATATTCAAAAATAATCAAGAAAATAAAGCAAGAGGATATACTTGCTGAGTGTTTAAATAGGCTGTTGTCTTTAGTGGAAATTCTGGAGAAAGCCAAGAGCAGGCAGGCTGGTGCCTTACTTAACAACTGAGTAAAATAATTGCTGATTATGGCAATATCAGCTGGGTTTCTTTTAGTTTTTACATTAAATGCCTTGTGTTTGGGGCTTAGAAATAGACCTCTAGCTCAGTAGCATGTGTATTAAAAGGTCCACTAAGACTCATAGAGATTTTGAACCTGCTCTGAGTTGCAACCTTAATAACACTGCTTCATTTTCCTTCACCACAATTTTATGAAATTTACAGTTAGCATATTTTCATTTTTAAAGTCAAGAAATGTAGTACCCTGAAGGATTTTTACACTAATTCTTCAAAAACACTTGGATCTGGAACTTAAAGCAAACTTCAAGGTTTGCAAATACACTTGGATTGGAATGTATAATACAATAAAACGCAATATCTGCATGACTCTTTGCCAACTGAAACAACCAAGCACCACACAGATTGACTAGAACATGATTCTGCCAGGTGCCAACGTGTCTTGTGAGTCACTGTGTATTCTCAGTTCTTTGAAATCAACACAACCAAGTGAAAACACAGTATTTACTGAGATCCGGTTTCTAACAGATAAGTAAAAGAGTATTTTCTACTATATGCTTTGAATAGAAGAAAAATGCAAAGCATCCACTTGCAGACATCAAAATTACTAAAATGACCAAGGGACCAGGATTTCTCATATCGTAATGAATGCAAAGCAAGTAGCTGAGCTAGCAGATAACATAAGGCATGTTAATTTGGAATTATAGCTGCATTTGGTAACAAGGCAATGGCCAAAGTTCTATCAGCATTTCCATTATAAGCCACCATAAAAATCTACTGAAACCAGATATTTGGTGTGTGGTTTCTAAGCCTCAGAGTCATTCTAATATTTGCATTTGATTAAGTAGTTTCCACTGAAAAGAAATAAAATCAGTTATTATTATGGCATTCTAGATAACGATTCAACTGAATTTCAGGAGAATTAAGTTTATTTGTGCTTCTATTACCTAGTTTGGTCCTCAACATTATTTGCAATGCTTATTATTGCATAACTGTAAGAAAGAACTTCCTTATTTTAAAAATAATCTTCAAGAGTAGAGTAATTGCTCATTCTTTATGAGTATGTGCTAAGTGTTCCTGATGTAGATACATGTGGCTGACAATTAATATGGCTGAAATAAAATATAACTGACTCGAGCTCAGTATGTCTGCTGTGTGGGAATGGAGTCTTCTCCCTATGTACTTTGTGCTTTTTTGTGCTTGTGATGCTATGTCAAGACTGTTTTTATTTACTGGCATAGCACAAATTTCAGTCTTCCTCAGGTTAGCAGTAGTCTTACTTGTATATGAATCCCAGTAGCCTGGGCACTTTCCAAACAGGAAAGGCAGCTCAGCTTTTGTTTCAATGGTATCATAAGCTAAAAAGGTATGACAGAAACAGCAACTCAGCAATCAATGAAATCTAGCCAGATCCTCTTGGGCATAAAACAAAGCCAGTCACCCCTGGAAACACAACAGAATTATAACAGTGCCAGCAGCATGACACAGATCAAAGGGAAGGAAGTGTAGAAAAAAGAACCATAGGCAATTAAAGCAACCAGAACTTTAAAGTAATTACCCAGTCTGTAATATAGCCAAAAGCCAGAATAGATGCTGCTATTCTTGGGACAAGTGTTATCCAATATTTTACAGCCTGCAGTGGTCAGTACTTGGAGCCTCAGTGATGGAATTTACCTGCAGGAGAGCACCCCAGCAAGGCCTGAGTGACTCAGGGTGAAGAATGTCGTCTTCTGAATCACAATGCCACTTCCTGTGGCACTTTGTTTTATGTCCAGGGTTCCCCTGTCTGTCTGATACTATGTAGACTTATCTAAGGTCTTGGATCAAGTTTCTGTAATACAGTCAGCATTGTTGGTTGAAGGTTTCAATGAATCTTCTCTAGTCCTTATAAAGGTAAGAATGGTAGGCCTAATTTTAAAATATGCCCTTGTTTTTGTTGAGTGTTGCCAAGCCTTCTGGTTCCATGGTCATTTAAAGAGCAGTCAGAGTTTCCGTTACAAACTCCTCTTTCAGGGATTTATTGTTGCAATAAAAACACATCCTCACAGCACATATATACTCTGCACAAATTCTCTGGCGAAGGAAGCTGAGTTCAAGTGTCAAAAATTGCTATATTAGATCAGGATACAAGTAAAAGGACTAAGAACTTGATCCTGAAATGAATGCAAAATGCTTGGTTTTAAGCACCTGAGGAATTCCATTAAGCTCCAGAGCTTTGTTTACCCTGTTAAGAAGCAAGCACGGGGACCAGAGTAATTAATAGTTGTTAAAAACAGTTAATCAGCTAAATAAATACATAAACAGACACCATAAATATGCCTTGCATTCATGCAAGGAAAAGCAACATCTGCCCATAGATGAAAGGACAAAGATCAAAACCCTAATACAGAAAGTTGTGACATCTCAGATGTGTAATGAATTTCAGGTGTGTTTTTTTACCTCATCTCTTGTTCAATTTAACTATAAGAAAATCATGATATTAAAAGAGGTTTGTCTCCTACCTTCTGAAGGAGACAGTTTTGATAATGCAGTGAGTCCTATGCCTCTTCCTTCTACTTGCTCATATCTATCTTACATCAAAACAATAGGAAAAATTAATATATATTATTGTTATTGAAGAAAGATTAATGTGAGACATAGAGTAGCTGAATAACATTTCTGTAGATAACCAATCCTTCTGCTGAGCCCAGAACTCTAATCCAGCGTTTTCAGCAACAGAAACTGTTCCTTCTCTCATTAACACACTGACAAAATGGTATCTTTATTGTCAAAAGTGTTTCCCTACACAAACCTAACAGGACCACATTGGCATGATCCCGTGGTAGGCATGATCTTGCAGGTACAGGCAGACTTAAAGCCTGAAACTGTTATTTTCTGATACAGAGAGCTACTTAATAGCACAAATATTACTGTATATATTGTATGTTAAAGGCAAAGCTGAAGCTTACTTAATAGGATAATTGCAATCCTAATGATGTATCTCATGGATATAATAAAATATTGATTTTGCCTACTGTAGAAACAAAAATCATGTAAGACATACAACCAAAATTTGGGCATAACAGCTGTGCAAAATTACTTCAAGATGAAACTAAGAGATGGAATACAGAACAGATAGCGAAAGAATTATTTCTGAATTTTAACATCATAACTGTAGACCTTGCAAAAAGTAGGGATCAAGAGAAATTGATGGAAAAGTCAAGGGAAGCCAATGAAGAATGGAAGATCTGTAGACATTTTGAACATATTTGTAGAGTTTATGCCTCTTAATTAAATTCTGTACTGCAGTTATCACAAACCCACATCAAACATTCAGAGAAACTGCCATACCCAGATTTAGTGAGTTGTAGACCAAAAGTATATGCCTGTGGAAGTGAAAGAAAAAGGTTTTTGACAGTTAACTGTACCAACATTTTATCTCCTCTGCAGTTGAATTGAACTGAAGTACTGATAAACAATGGCAATCATATGGAAAACAAAAATCCCACAGCATTCATTAAAGCACATTTTGACAATTATTTTCTTTATTTTCTTTCTGTTTTTTTCTTTTGGTGCAATCCATTTTGTCTGTAGAAATATCAGAATAAGGACACCCCAAGCATTTTAAAATACTGCATACATTTTAATTACCTACTCAGGTGGTTTTAATATTTACTTCCTATTTGAAATGAGGTGAAGTGACTGCAGAGAGACCTGCTCCTTTCAGCCCTCCTCATAACACTGGATCTATCAGCTCTTGTGTTTCAATCTCATTCCATGAATTATTTTTAAAGTGCTTATTTTTAATGTAAAATCACTAGATAATGTGGCAAAACTGTTACATAATATGTCATGCTGAAACTTACCTTTCTTTTTCTTTTTTTTTTTTATCCCCAAGAGAGATGATCCACTTCTTCATATACTGGAATGACAGCTTTCCAGGAGAAGTACAGAGTATTCTCCAACTCAGCTCCTGACCAAACTGCTTAGAAAGTTCAACTGTAGCAGGTTTTAATCAAACTTATTGAGACCTTACTGAAACGATCATTTTCATATGTTTGGCCTGCAAGGTTTGAATTATCACAAAGGTTTAGTCACAGTAGTTACTGACAAATAATTTTAATTAAACTTATGAAAGAAAACAATATGCTACAAATAACAGAGGTGGCCCTATGGGTGTAAATTTGTTGGGTCAAGGTATGAAGAAGCTGGACGGGCCCAAAGACTGTGAGGCTCTGTTTTAGCTATATCATATTTTTAGCTAACTCATATTTTTGGACTCATATTTTTTGCTTAACCTATAAGCTTCAGAGGCTAAAGAGTGTTAAGTTGATCTCAATGTGCTCGTTTCCCCTCAGTCTCCTAGATAACTGGACAGTCTATAAGAGGTATTCAGGGAAGTAAAAGTCACCTGAGAAATTTTTATAGGATCTCTCCAAGATAGAAAGAGATGTCTTAATAACTAAGCAATTTTTAATTTTTTTTTCCCCCAGTTAAGGGAAAATTGAAAGGAAGAGCAAAACATAATAAAGGTGACAAGAAAGGGTTGTTAAGGCAGAACACACAAACCCATATTTGACAGCCTGTGAAGCCAGCCAACTGTGATACTTGACTGACAATTAAAAGATTCTATTTCCCTCAGTTTGATAGAATGAAGGTGTCACAGGCTACCCACCTGCAGTTCCTAAGGGGATTTCACTTCAGAGCCAGCTTCACTTTAAATGCTGGCTTAGTAAAAGTCACAGAGAAATGTTAGGCATGTGGTAGCTGTTACATGCACTGAAAGCAGTGCTACCTCTCTTGCCATGTTATATGTTTCTCCAAGTAAGGGAGCTGCCTATTTTTATCTTATACCACACATACCTGCTGAAGGGACTAAAGACACAATTTGGAAGAGTTGCTTTGAAGGATAAGGGAAGAATCTGGGTAAAGTCACATGTGTGTTCTGCACCCAGTCCCAGGAGTAGTTGTATTCCCGAAATAACACAGGAGTGCACTCGTTTTGCTGAAACAACAAATAAACTAGCTGAGGATAACCTGGTGAACAAAGAAAAAAAGAGAGCCAACACCCAAAAACCAAAAACAAAACCAACGAACCGAACAAAAAACTTTTAGCAATTTTTCCCATGGAGGTACTAAGCTGTTTCTTTAATATTCAAAATACATCAAAATGGTGCTTAGGCACATTTAGTCTGAAAATACTGTCAAGTGCATTCTGCTTCAGACAAGGAAATATTTTACAGTAAAATCTTTTCAGAACTCAAGTCAGTTTTAACCAGTACTTTATAGTTACAAACAACTGGAACTCATATGCCTTTGGGCACTTGTGTCAAAAACCTTTTACTGAGAAGGGGTCAACACACTCAGATCCAGCACTGCTGATGCAGAAAACTTTGTCATATTTAGTAAGCATGTTACAATGAACAAGAGTCATCTGGGAAGGACTCAGTCTTAACAATTCAACTACATTTTGTGGAAGGGTTCTGTCTTAACAGTTCAACTGCATCTGTTCACCTCCACTGGCACCACAATGTGCAAAATGTCAGAAAAATATTCTTTGTGAAAAAGAAAAATTAGTTAGGGCTGAAAATTGTAACATATTGTTACTATTAAATTAATCTTAGGGGTAGACATCCACATGAAGAAAAAGTCATAAGAAAGAGACAATTTGTAATAAACACCTACTTAGTTACTAAACAAAACACTAAATGTCTGGGCCTGCTTGTGTTAGGAAGCAGGTCAGTGACAAATGACACCATGGAGATGTTTAAGAGGCATTTGGATCTGGCACTGGGTGACATGGGTTAGAGGCCTAGGGGTTACAGTGGTAGTGCTGGGTCAATAGTTGAACATGAAGATTTTAAAGGTCTCTTCAAACCTTGACAATTCTATGATTCTCTGAAAACCAAAACCAAGCCTCAGCTCAAGACTCAAAATAATAATTAAAAAATGTCTGTAATATTTAGTCTTCTTTATGGCTGAAGTTGTTTTTTAAAGCATTTTCATAATTTGTTTTGGGGGCTGGAGGGGTTATCTTCCTATTGATTTTAAATATCTGCCAGTTTTCTTACAATTCCGCTCTACTGTTAAGTACAAAGGCTGAATTCTGCTTACAGCCCACACATTATTTGCTTTTCTCCTTCCCATGTCTTGGAGTTTATACTCACCTTTGGTTTAGATTCTCAAAAAGTGACAGGTGGATCATCCATCATAAATGGATGAGCTGATCCATTAAATGTAGTAATGCTGTATTGGTACACACAGTCCATGCACACCATTGTTCCTTCCAGGTTATTGGATTCAATGGGAGTTTTTCTACAGTGTGACACTTTGTGTTCAGTTCAGGCAAAACTAAATGGAGAATGGCAAGTATGCAATGTTTCAGAATGAAGGATACTTGGGAATCCCCAGGTTTGATAATTCCTAATTTCAAAGTGTTGATTTTGTAACCAGATCTAACTTCATATGAATCGGGGCCCAGGGGAAGAGAGTTCGTGGGAAAGGCAACTGAAGATCATAGCAGGGCACACATACGCCAGGCTGAATTTGGGTTGGCCAGACAGACAAATATCTGGCATTTCCCAACTTCAGAGTACTTCATTTTCCACAGAAAAGAAGTGTGAGTTTCTCATGTGTGTTGCTAATTTATTTTTTAAGAAAGTCTACTCCATTTGCATGCAACCACCTCTTCATCATCCATGGGATACCAAGGCTGACTGCTTGTGACAGCCACACAGAAGCCTTAATCTATCTGAGCAACCCTTAGCACACTCAGCTACCAGCCACACACACCTTTTTGCCTGTGGAGAGAACCGATGGAAGTGGGGGTGGAAAGGGCTTCTGGAATGGGACAAAAGAGGAATCATCTCTCAGCCCCTTTTTTCCAGAGAGCAGCTCCAGCATCCCTGTAATCTCTCCTGCTGTGCTGGCTGCAGTGGACCTACACTGGTATCAAGCTTGTGGTGCTGGCAAGCTGCCACAGCTTTCCTAAGCTCTTGTAGGGAGAAGTGGGAACATCTTCGGAAAAATAATTTTGCAAGACAAAAGTATTTCTTTCTACACTAAGAGCTCCCTCCTTTCTGTCCTGGCACATGTGTATGTGCACACTCCTCACAGAGCCATATTTCAAAGCCCTGTTGGAAGCACCAAAGATGTTAAAACTTCTCAGGATGAAGTAACAAGGACCTTTTATGCTGAAATGGGTCAAGGCTCCCAGGTGTGCAGGTGGGCCCACTGCCACCCCAGAGAATAAAGCAATATAAGCTACAGCATCCCACAGGTTGGAGGAAAATTTCCTTGTTTCCTCCAGTGCATACCCACATATGAGGAGCATGTTGCAGGTCCAGATTATCCCAATAAAAGTGCTATCACTGACAACAGGATGAGAGGAACCCTCAGCAGGTTTCTCATCTGAATCAGGTTTCTTCCTGAATGATTCCAAATTTTAAATGCACAAAGGAAATCCTGAGTGTCTGACACAGCTATTATAGGAAGAAAAAAAGAATAATGTCACATAATAGCACATTTCTCTCTCAAGAAGCTTTGATGCCAGGAAACAAAATACCCAAATACAACTATTTTTCTAACTTATTCATCTTTGGAGGTTGCCAGGGGAGGGTCTTTTTTGCCTCCCAGATCACCACAAAGTTGAGACATGGGGAACAAGGGATCGTCCTCATGACTGTTCTGTGAAAGTTCTGGATTTTCCGAAGGGCCGTTTACAGTTACATGTTTATTCAATTTTCCAGTCAGTGAGCATTACAAAAATAAAGGACAGAAAACCAGAGGTTATGCTGATAGTTCCCAAGTGACTATCAAGAGCATGCACTTTTAGTCTCCGATGCAGATGATAGCAGATTTTCTCAGGAAGCTAAGGGAAGACACAGCCCAGATTGAAAAATTGCATAGAAGATAATAATTTGTAAAATTTGTACCTATAAACCCATATTAGCAATTGATTTTTAGGTGATTCTTTGAGTTATTGCTAACATTTATCACATTCTCCAACAGACACCAACTGTAATAGTTGTAGTGAGGTAGTGAGGAATTTTCCACCAGAGCTGAAAAGCCCTTAGATGAGCAAATACATCTAGAACTTAAAAATAAAAAATCTTTCAGTTGAGGAAACAGTACCAAATTTCTGGTCTTCTGACACTCAAAATATTCTGTAGTTGCAATCTGACATTTAGACTGGTTTTATTTTTTATTAGATTATCTGTCTTAAAAAAATCAAGTCAAATGAGGAAAATTCTGTGTACTTGACTAAATACTAAGAATGATGGCCCATTTTACTGCTCTCCAGCATTATTCATTGAGTAATCCAACATGTAGTCTTGCTCCAGTAGTAGTGCAATAGATTATACCTTGTTTCCTCTTTGGGATGTTGATAACAGATAAGCTGTTCATCTATATTAAATGTAATAACCCTTCCTCGTGATTTCTCCTCTTTGCAAACATCTGAAACTTCTGAAGGAAAGAAGCCATGCCAGATTGATAAGCCATGCCAAAATGAAAACAGTCATAAACAAAAAGTTGTATTGTTGCGTAAAAGTACAGAATTGTCTTCAGAGAAACCTTCCTGCATAATTTCACTATCTTTCTCATATTATTTGTCATGTGATTTCACCCTGTATTTTTTCTGATTTCCAAAGTAAGTGAAAAACAGTCACTTGGAATGGAAAGAGCTTTGATATGTCCCTTCTTATGTTCTTCTACATATACCTGTTCCCATTGTGAGTTTACATCATTCAGTTGAAATGAAGAGGTGGACCGGGCTCTTCATATTTAAACACTCCTTTTTCCATGCTACATAATTTGCAAAGGATTTGGTACAAAACTTGGGGAAGTTAACGCGAGTTTTTCCATTTCTCCATGCTTTTTCATTCATTTGCATTCAAAGACATGCTGGAGTTGCACATTCCATATCTGTAGCTTCCCTATATTTTTTCTTTTTATCCTATTTCTCCTTTCCACAGAGAACTGGGATACTCTCTGTTGCTCCCATCTCTTTCCCAATCACATCATACATCCTTCCCAAATCCTAGCTA